AAGTGAAGTAGCTGCTAATCACTAATCATAGAGGTGTTTTGCTTAGTGACAAAGTGCCTTTAAGCAGAACATACACCAGTATCATGTCCCACATGCTCATAATGCATGTGTGCCAACCAGTCATGTAGTCGCTCACTGGTTCTGTGGTATTTCCAATCTGTAGCAGAAGACTCTCACCAGCACTTTCTATTGATTTTCTCATTTTAAAACGTGATTCCGCAGAGCTGACAGATGGAAATGTCTTGTTAGACAAGGTCTCAGTTTTCTGCTCTAGATACATTCTGAGAAAGGACAAGACTTTCTTCTTAACTGCCAATAAGTAAAGATTGTATCACATTCCCCATGAAGCTTCCGTCTCTTAAATCAAGTAACTGAGAATGCCAATACTGCACGTCCTGATATATTCACAGAGCAGCAATGGGTAACCAATTGCATTCTGGGATCATCAAATGCTGCTCTTGTCTACTTTGATGAGGAACATAATGGGGGGTTTACTAAAGGCAAACAGGTTGTTCACTTTGCAAGAGAATTTTACAGTCAGCATAGTGAATGTGGTAAAAATTCACTTTCAAAGGATACCCAATCATGCGCAAGGAAAAGAGAAAACAGTATTTTTCCTTGCACATGATTGAAAGATGGAAGTCAGCAAAGCTTTACCTCATTCACTAAGCTAAGGAGAAATTCCCTTGCACACTGATAATTCCCTTGCAAACTTAAAAGCCTATTCACATTTAGAAAATGAATCCTCTCATGTTATTTCCAAGTCTGCTTAGTGACAAGGGAAACAGCAATATTAATTCAGCTTTATTATTGTTTTAACGGCAGTGAAACTCTATTACATCAATCACTAGCACAGTTTTACCATCATAGCCTTAGATGCCGGTTATTTACCAGTGCTAAGTATCACTTTTAACTTAGAACTGTGCAATAATGCAGGTTCTATTTCTTGCCTTTGTATGTTTGTAAAGTATTTTCTTATGATGAAGAAACATTGGTCTTATGGTCAGGAAAGGGCTGTCAAGGTCATTGCTGTCTTTTTCCCCGTGAGGAAGATTAAGCCTCTCGATTTGTCCTGTTGAAGAAAATACTAAGGGGTCTATTCACTATGCTGCCGAGGGCAGCCAAGTGAATGACCGATCTGAAGTGAAGTGAGCCGAACACTGTTCGGCTATTCACTTCAGGCTGGTACAGCTGATTTCAGCCGTACATCGGCTGAAATCAGCCGTACATCAACTTGCTTCGCGTGGCTTCGGGCTCCGCATGCTGAGCATGTTCGGCCGATCCGAAGTGCAGAAGGAGTTCGACTCAGCCGATCCAACATCTGGATCGGCTGAGCCGAACCTTCGGCAGGCTACTCACTGCTGTTCGGGCTATTCTTAAAGATCCCGAACAGCAGTGAGTGAATAGCCGAATGCCGCTGAGCGGCATTCGGCTCGGCTCTTCTGCTCGGTCCCTCAGAGGGACCGAGCAGAACAGAAAAAGAGTGAAAAAAGTAAATAGAAAAACGATTGTGCGGAGCTAGCAGTGACAGCTAGCTCCGCCCAATAGTTTCCTATTGTTCGGCGGCTCTGCTGCTGTAAAAAAAAAACGAAAAAAAAACTCTCCCGGGCACTCTGGGAGCCTCCTGCTCCCGGCCGCCCAGGAGAGAAACACTGTGTGCGATGTCAGAGTAGAAAAAAAAAAAATTCCCATTGAAAAGCATTGGGACATTACTATTGGCTATTTCAATTTGCTATAGCCAATAGTAAACTAGCATTGTACCCGCCCTCTGCTGATGGACCTGATGGGAAACTGCAGCAGAGGGCGGGTACAATGCTAGTTTACTATTGGCTATTTCAATTTGCAATAGCCAATAGTAATGTCCCAATGCTTTTCAATGGGAACATTAATTTATTTATTTTTCTCCTCTATTCTGACATCGCTCGTGTTAGAATAAAGAAAAAAAGACACAGCACTGTTTCTCTCCTTGGCGGCCGGTAGCAGGAGACTCCAGGGCTGCCAGGGAGAGTTAGCTGTTTGGAGATCAGTGTCCCTGGTTAGCAGGTAACCAGGGATGCTGATCTCTCTGAAAGTGGCCGGAGCCAGCCGTAAGATCACGGCTGGC